GGTTGGTGATGTCGCGTGGTGAATATCATGGTCTATCTTGTTTTTGAAAAGAGAAACACGCTCATCGACATGTTCAGTGCGGGGAAACGGCGCTTGCAGCTCAGGCGAAGTGCTGTTCGACCAACGAAATGCAGGGTGTTGTCGATGTGGCACCAAACATAACATGACCACGAAACCCCCGTGTGAACGGCTTTCCGTCCATAGGGTTTGTGAAGGGGCTGAACGGTCTCGCACAGTCCCTGGCATACTCGGACCCCACTGTGTACACCTGTGGAACACCAGCGTGTCATGACATCTGTGTGCCACACCAGCGTGTCATGGCACCCATGATCATGACGAGTGTCCTGCGATGATGCACGACTGAGTGCACATGCGGAGGGCCAGTCTTCAATGGATCGGTGCTGAATCAATACCCCGGGTGCATAACCTCTACAGGTCTTTAGAGACACCCCCCCAGTAGGGGAAACTAATTCTCCTTCCGGCGCCCTCAGTGACGGACTGGGGTCCCACCACGAATGACAAATACTTACTTCTTCGCGACACCCGCCGCACAACAACGACGACGGCTACGACTATGACTACGACTGCGACAACGATGCGAAGACGATTGCGACTACAACCGCGACTACAATCGCTATTATAATCACGATCACAAGCACGACTACAATCACAACTACACCCACAACCACGGATTTCTGTTGCGATCCATCTATTAAGATGCTCACACATCCTCTCGCGTGTACGATAACCAACAATGGATAATTCCCCTGTGGGAAGGATGCCCCCAACATTACCCAGCCGGCCAAACAATAGAAGGAAAATGCATCCCGACGCGACGACGACGACTACGATTACGACTACAACCGCGACTACGATTACGATTACAATGAAGACTGCAATCACGATTACAATGACGATTCCAGCCACGACTTCAATCACGACTACAACCGCAACCACTAATTATCTTTTTCCAATGCGCATTCGAGGATGCGCAGAAATCCTCCCGCGTGTAGGGTAGGTAGTCCACACTGGATTCTTCCCTGAAAGAAAAACCAGTATCCCGACCGGCCAACAACAAGTGGCACGCTTGCCTTGGCTCTTGCACACAGGAGCTGCGAAGGACTGGGAAGCCTGGGCGGAGGAAGGCTGGACGGAGGAAGGCTCCCAAGGGTGGGTGGCTCAGGGGAGCTGGGGCTCAGGCTCAAGGGGGGGGGGCCGAGGGGGACGAACCACCACGAGCCACGAACCACGACAAAAATAAAGGGTTCCGCAGCCCAGGGGGGCTGCCCTGGGAAGCCTGGACGGAGGGGGGTTCCAAGGGGGGTGGCCCAGGGGCAGCTGGGCTCAGGCTCAGGGGAGGGGCCGAGGGGGACGAACCACGAAGAACACGACGAAAATAAGGATGTCCGCGGCCCAGGGGGGCTGTCCTGGGAAGCCTGGACGGAGCAAGCCTCCGAAGGGTGGGTGGCCCAGGGGAGCTGGGGCTCAGGCTCAGGGGAGGGGCCGAGGGGGACGAACCGCGACGAACCACGAACCACGACGAAAATAAGGATGTCCGCGGCCCAGGGGGGCTGCACTGGGAAGCCTGGACGGAGGGGGGGCCCCAAGGGGGGGGGAGGCCTGGACGGAGCAAGCCTCCGAAGGGTGGGTGGCCCAGGGGAGCTGGGGCTCAGGCTCAGGGGAGGGGCCGAGGGGGACGAACCACCACGAACCACGAACCACGACAAAAATAGAGGGTTCCGCAGCCCAGGGGGGCTGCCCTGGGAAGCCTGGACGGAGGGGGGTCCCAAGGGTAGGTGGCCCAGGGGAGCTGGGGCTCAGGCTCAGGGGAGGAGCCGAGGGGGACGAACAACAACGAACCACGAACCACGACGAAAATAAGGATGTCCGCGGCCCAGGGGGGATGTCCTGGGAAGCATGGACGGAGCAAGCCTCCGAAGGGCGGGTGGCCCAGGGGGGCTGGGGCTCAGGCTCAGGGGAGGGGCCGAGGGGGACGAACCACCACGAACCACGAACCGCGACGAAAATAAAGCTGTCCGAGCTCTGGAGCACAGCTGTGCAAGAGAATAAAGGGGAACGAATCCCCGCCGCGACGGCGACAACGACGCTGACAACTACGATAACGACCGCAAAGAGCAGCAGGAAGATGACGAGGAGGAGGAGGAGGAGGAGGAGGAGGAGAAGCAGGATGAGGGGGGGCAGGGGGAGGAGAAGGAGGAGGAGGAGGAGGAGGAGGAGCGCACCTCCATCGGCGACCGGTGGCTCCTTAGTGGCGTGTGAGAGCTGCGTGTCTGATTGAAAGTTAGGAGGTGTATGAGTTAAACTGGTGATGCGCCCCTGTGAGAGCAACGCGTACTTTGTAAAAGATGGAGTAAGCCAGCGCGGCTAGCTCATGAGCTTCATTGATATTCGAATAGGTGTATTGATATTATTGCGGAAGCCCCAGTCCAAGCCATAGGAACGAGGGCCCGTGGGAATAAGCACGCGAGGGAGAGCAATCATATGCAGAACCTGCGGACAGGTAAGACAATGCTGGAACGACTCTGGGTTGTTCACGTATCCAAACCTGCAGGGGAGTGGGATAGGATCCTGATACGATGGCTGGTGATCCAGCCGCCTGCTAAAGTTTTGAGATGAGCCCCAACCATAGCTGGCCGCAACTTGGACAGCACATCCCGAAGGGCAAGCCAGCGAGTACGAAAGGAAACAAGGTCGGGGAAGTGGTAGTCAGGCAACCACTTCCTTACCCGAGTCCGGATACGCACATGCGTACAATCAGGGTCGACCCGCTCAATGAGCGCTGCAATAGAAGTGGTCTGAGGGCGTGCCTTCGACGACGACGACGACGACGACGACAACGACGACGACGACGACGACGACGACGACGACGACTGCTAGGACGACCAACTTCCCTCGCTTGGCCAGAGAGGATGAGTCGCAGAGAGGATGACGGCATGGGGGAAGGACCGATTGCGAGCGTTGGGGAAGAGGCGATAGAATTAGAGGATGCTTTGCGAGTTTTCCAACATTCCGCCGACAACAACTGCTGGCGCGCTATCACCTGATATCCGCGCACATCCGCCCCGCCCCACCACCAGTCGTAGAGGAGGAGGAGGAGGAGGAGGAGGAGGAGGAGGAGGAGGAGGAGGAGGAGGAGGAGGAGGAGGGAGGAGGGGGAGGAGGGGGAGGAGGAGAGGAGGAGGAGGGGGAGGAGGAGGAGGAGGGAGGAGAGGCAACTTTGTTCTCCGCCGAAAGAAACGGGGGGGGCACAACCAAAGGCAGGCATCATGAGGTTTTCCTTAGCGCACCAGCGTGTCATGACGTCGATGTGCCACACGTGCGCGTCAGGGCACCCATAATCATGATGATGCCCCCTGCGACGGTGCACAATTGCACCCGTATGCGGAATGCCAGCTTTCCACGTGTACCCATCGCTCTGCCACACCAGCGCGTCATGACACTGATTAGCATGATGATGTCCCTACTGTGACAACACACGCAAAACATGCAATTGCTCTCTTCGGGGCGCATGAGTCGCAAGTGCCCGTTGATGCCATTTGCCTTGAGAAAAAGAAGCCCAAGCGATCGCGCGTCGGCGGGTAGAACATGGTGCTCCTAGCTCATGCATCGGTACTGAATTAGGACCCCGTGCTGTCTATTCTTGCCGCGCCAGCGTGTCATGACATCGGTGTGCCACACCAGTGCGCCATGGCACTCATCGTCATGATGACTGTCCTGCCGCGTGGACATACGGAGACCATGCAATCGCTTCCTCTGTGGCGCATAAGTCGCAAGTGCCCCTTGGTACCATTTGCCCTAGGTCGTGGCCGAGTGGGTCACGCGTTTGGTGGGGGGGGCAATGGCGCTCGTAGCTCGAACGAAATGTCCGACTCACGAAACTCGTTTTTGTCGTTGTGGCACCGAAGATGAAAGAACAGGAAATCCCAGAGAGAACGGCTCCCCGTCTAGAGGGCTCGTGATGGGCAGAATTGTTTCGCACAGTCCTTGGCGTCGCTGCTGAATCAGGACCCCATGGTGTAAGTTCTTGCCGTGCCAGCGTGTCATGAATTCGGTATGCCACACTGGCGTGTCGTGCGCGAATTAACATGACGATGGTCCTGCGACGATGCACGACTGGGTGCACATGCGGAGGGCCACCCTTCAATGGCTCGGAGCGGAAATAGGACCACATGCTGTAGATCCTGGGAGCACCACGGTGCCATGACACCCTTTATCACGAGGCGAAGGAACAGGAAGGAGGGGTGAGCGGGAAAGGCTGTTCGAGGAGGGGGGGTGGAGAGTCGGCAAAACACAGAAGCAAGCGGAGACGCTCGGACGCTCGGCGGCTGACGACGGGTTGGTCCCGTGGAACAGAAGGGCTTCGCCTTCTCGCAGCCTGCCGGGTGGCAGCAGACAGAAGAGGGGGCAATAGGAGAAAGACGATGAGGGAGGAGAACTGTCGAGGGGCAGGGAGTTCTAAGGATCCCTGCGGGCTCTCAAGGGGTCGAGGGTGTTGGAGGAGCGAGAAAGAGGTTGAAGTAGGGAGGAAACGAAACATATAAACAATAGCAGCAGGAACAGGGACCCCATTGTGTACATAACGAGAGGTAATGCGGGTGAGGCCATGAGTGTGTAAGGGTGAGAGAGGGAAGCGGGGGATGGGGCAGGAGAACAAACATGATGAGCATTGTGCCATGCTGACGCGCAGGAGAAGTAGCCACCCTTACCTTCCCCTCCCCTCCTTATCCTCCTTTACCAGGAGGAGAAAGAGAGGGGGAAACTTCATCCTGGCCAGGCTCATCATGGGCCCAAGATTGGTGAATATATATATATATACACACACGACCTCCTGGCTCGATACTTAGCGATGCGTATACACCGATCCTTGGGCCCAGGATCGGCTTGGCCAGCGTCGGTGTTCCCACGCCTGCGTCGCTTGAGGGCCCCCCCTCTCCTGGAATTGACGCCGGCGGCGATGCCGCCCTCCCTGGTCTTCGCCACTAGCGGCGTCTTCCCCCTGTACTTGGCGTACCGCTCCTGTTTCGGCAGGAGCGGGCGGGAAGAGGAGAGGAGGACGAGGAGGAGGAGGAGGAGGCGGAGGAGGATGAGAATGGAGGAGGGGAAAGGAGGAGAACAGACAGGATAGAGGAGGAAGGAGCAGGGCAGAAGGAGGACAAGGGGGGCGGAAGGGGGGGGCATGGAAGGGGTGGGGGGAGATGGAGAGATGAGGCATGAAGTGGGATTCTGTTGATTGCTCCCAAACATCCTGTGGTGTTGGGTCCTCGTTTCGAAGAGATGGCGCCCCGCGTTCCTACTTCCCGCCCGTCCCCTCCCGCTGCCTCCCCTCTGCTCCTTGCATGTCTCTGTTCCGGCACACCCCTCACACGGTTCGTGGCCCCTTAGGGAGCTCCACCGAAGGCCCCAGTGGCAAAGTTCGCATGCAATTCCACCCCCATTTCGGCGCACCCCTCACACGGTTCGTGGCCCCATAGGCAGCTTTGCTGCAGGCCTCAATGGCAAAGTTCGCATGCAGTTCCATCTAATTTCGGCGCACCCCTCACACGGTTCGTGGCCCCATATGGAGCCTACTGCAAGCCTCAATGGCAAACCTCGCATGCAGTTCCACCCCCATTTCAGCACACCCCTCACACGGTTCGTGGCCCCATAGGGAGTTCCACCGAAGGCCCCAGTGGCAAAGTTCGCATGCAGTTCCACCCCCACTTTGGCGCACCCCTCACACGGTTCGTGGCCCCATAGGGAGCTCCACCGAGGGCCCCAGTGGCAAAGTTCGCATGCAGTTCCACCCCTGTTTCGGCGCACCCCTCACACGGTTCGTGGCCCCATGGGGAGCTCCACCGAAGGCCCCAGTGGCAAAGTTCGCATGCAGTTCCACCCCCATTTCGGCGCACCCCTCACACGGTTCGTGGCCCCATCGGGAGCTCCACCGAAGGCCCCAATGGCAAACCTCGCATGCAGTTCCACCCCCACTTTGGCGCACCCCTCACAAGGTCCGTGGCCCCATAGGGAGCTCCACCGAGGACAGTATTCACCATTGCGTTACTCACAACTGCATGTGGTTGGGGGTCCTTCGCCTGGATCATGTTGTTTATCATGTGTCATTGGTCGGTTCGAGTGTATCCCGCAAACCACGCAAGGTCCTTAGAGAATTCGTTGGCAGGGCCTGTTCCTCTGAGAGGAACAAGAGAACCTTCGCAGGCGCAGCCAGGGGGGCCAACAGCGCCGATCCGAGAGATCCGCGCGGAGCTCCAACAGTGCCGTTGCTTCCAGGTCCTCGACTGCTCTCAGGTCGGGAAGCCTGTTGACGTTTCTGCGGATTCTGGGAACCGTCCGTTTTCGGCACGGGGGAAGATCCTGCCTATTCTCGGTAGGTGCCGCCACCGTGCCCTTCGGCACGGAGCGGGCGTGTACTCAAGTCCTTTGCCAAATCCTCCACAAGCCCGAATCCTCGATCCTGAGGGCTCTTGAAGGGCCAAGTCGCCGAATCTCCGTGGGCTTGCCGCGCTCCCCTTGGGCTGCCCCGCGCGACTCTTCCGAGGGCCCAAGAGGGGCCCCACGGCGGGCCAAGAGAGCCCCCGGAGACTCCCAAGGTGGTCCAAGAGGGCTTCGAGACACCTCAAGATCGCTCCAAGACGCCCAGGATGGCCCCAAGACGGTCCAAGAGGCCTCCAAGACGCACCAAGAGGCGTCTAAGAGCCTTCCCAAGAGGGCCCCGAGAGTTGCAACATCGTCGACTCCCCATCGGCGTTTCAGTTCTATCGCGCCCTCCGGGCTTGGCTCGGCCGCCGAGGGCGGCTCCGCGGGGCCCGGCGGCGCAACCGGGCATGGACCGCACGACGCGGTCGGCGCCTCTAAGGTTATGCCCGCGGGCGGCCCGGGCCTGCCCCGCAGGATCGGCGCGGCGGCGGTGCGGAGCGCCCGCCGGCGGTTCCGAGAAGTGTTCGAAGCCTTCCCCAAAGATTAACGGGGAGGAGGAGGGGGAGGAGGAGGAGGAGGAGGGGGCAGGAGGAAGTTCGTGGGTGGAGGAGAGGAGGAGGAGGAGGATGAGGAGGAGGAGGAGGAGGGCTCCTGGTGCCAGGTAACGCTTCCAGGGTGCGGAAGGGTTATCGATTTGCCGGAAGGGGGGGGGGGGTTCTTAAATGCTTCCTGGGGTTATGCTGCTCTCATCGCACTTCGGGGCCACATCCCAGGAATGATTTCGAGCACCCGGGAACGTGTCGAAAGAGCGTCGAAGCAGTGTCGGACGAGTGCCTCCCAGGGCCGACGCGTGCAAACCGTCCAGTGTCTCGTAGATACTCGAAACTCTGTCTGGTGGTCAAGGCGGGAGTGGGCTTAACCCCAAAAAGAGGAAGCAACTTCTCAGAAGGCTCCAGGGCTTCTGAGACGTTCCGCCGCCTTCTGATAAGGCCTTCTCCTTCTACTTTGAAGTCGGGCGTGTCCCCCTACAGGGGGATTTTTAACGAGAAATAAAGATACTCAAAAAAATGCCCAAAAGATGCCCAAACGTGGTAAAAAAATAGTCCCCAGATTTTGTTTGCCTATTTTTGGAGATCCCCCCTGTAGAGGGACAGGCCCGACTTACTTCTACTTACGCAGGACGACAGATTTTCCCCTCGAGGTGCAGATGGCGATGATGAGCTGGCAACGAATGACCGAACCCCCTTCCCCCGTGGAATCTTAACACGGGCGGGTTCCAGGGTCCACGGATCCGATTTCTTCCGCTCCCCTGTTTTACTTTCATAACATAAACTTTCAACGAAGTAATAATCGGATCAGCCGTAAAAAATAAAGGCCGGACACGGCTCCAGCAAATTCGAAATCGGATCCGCGCGGACAAAATTCGGATCCACCGAAACAGACGCCAAAACCGCAACCCGCGCGAACTTCCCGGGATCCGACGGCGGTCATCTCACGCGCGCCTGCTCGAGACTTCGAGCCGTCGTCCCGGGCCCGAGGGGAAACAACTTTCGTCCTGGGGATGCATCCCCCCCCTCGCTCGCCGCCGAGCCCGGGGCTCGTGGGCGGTGGAAGGCGCCGACGGCGGCCTAGGCTTAAGTCGGGCCTGTCCTCCAACAGGGGGGTTTTCGACGATTTTTTTTTTTTTTTTTTTTTTTGTTTTTTTTTTTTTTTACTTTTCTTATCTTCTTACAGAAAAAAACAAAAAATCCAAAAATGCTCCAAAAATAGTGTGGGGAGTACTTTTTGCATGTTTTTTTTACCTTTTTGACACATTTTTATGGTATTCTTACTTTTTCGTCGAAAATCCCCCTGTAGGGGGACTGGCCCGACATAGTTAAGCCTGGGCCGCGGGGTGTCCTTCCGAGGCTGCCCCGCCCGCGGAGCCGCCGCGCGGAGGCCGACTGGCCGGGGGCGAGACTCCAGTCGACCCAGCGGGGCCTCGCGCAGGCTGTCCCTGTGATCGGGGGGGGGAGGGGGGGGGAGGAGGGGGGGGGAGAGAGGGGGGAGAGGGGGGGCGGAGAGGGGGGGGCGGAGGGAAGGGAGAGGGGGGGCGGAGGAGGCGAAGGGAGACTCGCCTTTCTGCAGCCGAGCTCTCCCCGAGATCCCCGAGCTGCTTCGCGCGGGCTCTCCCCGAGGTCCCTGGGATCTCTTCGAGCCGAGCGGTTTCGCCCAGCCTCGAGCCCCAGGAGCCTCACAGATGGATCTGGCTCGAAGAACGGCGCAGAAGGCTGCGGTCCGAGGCTCCAGTCGTGATTTGTCACGACGTCTCAATTTTCTTCGAAACGTCGGATCTTAGGGTCTGCTCCAAAGAAAATCTGTCCATGATTTCGGAGGCCTCGATTTCTCGAGCTCCCCACGCTCCGAGACGGTCTGAGAGGCCCCCAAGCCCGCCGGTCGGAACGATGCGTCCCCGTCCGTCCTGCAGGGTGCGTCCCCAATGATGATGGGCCTATATTCCACCACCACCACCACCATAAGTTGGAGGGAGGGAGGTGGAGGACGAGGAGGAGGAGGACGAAGAGGACGAGGAGGAGGATGAGGAGGAGGAGGAGGACGAAGAGGAGGAGGAGGGAGAGGAGGAGGAGGAGGAGGAGGAGGAGGAGGAGGAGGACACCCTCCCCCTCCAACTTATGGTGGTGGTGGTGGTGGAAAACAGGCCCATCAAATGAGTCCCGGTGAGTCCCGGTGCGTCCCCGTCCGTCCTGCGTCCCCGCCCGTCCACGTGCGGCCACGTCCGCCCCTGTGCGGGATCCTGGTGCGTCCCCCTCCGTCCTCAGTGCGTCCCAAGGCGTCCCCGTGCCAAGGCGTCCCGGTGCGTCCCGGCCCGGTGCGTCCCGGTGCGTCCTGCAGCGACTACGTGCGTCACCGGTGCGTCCCAGTGCGGCCCGGTGCGTCCTGGAGGAGGAGGAGGTGGGGCGGAAGGGGGGCGAAAGAGGTTGATGCTGGTGTTGATACCACGATGCACGCTGACGCTGTCTCTCAGGCAGCGTGTGCGGAATGAGACGCGACCTGCACGACCCGTCTGCAGCCGACAAGATCGGGGGTGGCAGGGATGTCACATGTGCAAAACCCTTAGGGACCGTTTCTTTCTTTCCCAGGTAACGGTCGTTACCCAGGGGAGGGGGGCGGGCGGGAGGGTGACAGTGACGGCGTCCGCGGCGTGCACCCACCAGGGTGCGCCCGCGCTCGCAGCGCACTAATCGCCTGTGCGCGTCACAGCAAGCCAGTACGATCGTTCGCGTTACCCGGGAGGGGGTTGACCTGGGCAACGAGCGGTACCCTGGGGAGGGAAAAAACCTTCACTTAGGGAATCCCGTTTAGCAGCACACACTTTGTGACGAGGCCCCGGAGACCAAACCCCGCTGGCGCAGGCCCACGAAACTGCGGCCGCAAGACCGTCTCGATAAGACACGAATATCAGTTCGCCAATCGACGCAGGGCGGAACTTTTTTGCAATGTATTCAGACGCCACGCCCTCGACGCTCAGGAATCGCGCTCTCGCTCTGGCTTTTCTCGCAATTTACATGGGAATGGCGCTGTCGCTCGAAACGTCATCGCGATTCATGCAGGACTCACGCTTCAACAACCTGCCTACTCGACCTGGCCGCCTGGGGAGGCCTTCCCGACCCGCCCGCTAGGGTCTACGCAAGACGATCCATCTCTGGGTTTCACACATGCGCGCAGGAGCGCACTCTCGAGGAGGCATTCCGAGAGACGAAACGCGGGGAGTGTGAAGATGTTTCCTGCCATCTGGCGCCTCAATTCTGGAGGGGCTCGGTGTCTACACCACGCCGCTTGCACGGCCAAGGAGCTCGGTGTACAGATGCCCCAGCTGCTCAACGTGTGGGACGCTGGCGCGTCTGTGCACCACCGTTCCTCCGCCGAGCTCCTTGGCTCCCTGGCCCACCCAGCGATGTTGTGTATGGTGTATACATCGGCACCCTCCGAAAATCTGGCAAACGTCGGTGCGACCTCCCCGAGACATCGACCCACCCAAACGCCCCGAATGTGACGGTGATCGGCCACAGTCTCAGTTTCAACCCGGCAGCCATGTCGCAGTCGCACTCGTGGAGTCTGCATTTAGCGTTCGCCATGCCTCTTAGGAGGCAACTCCAGGGAGGTCTTCGTGAGAACGACAAATGGCGATCAAGGCCGAGCAAAGGGCCATCCAAGCCAAATTAAGCAGAATTTGCTACGGGATGAAGCCTGATTAAACCGGGCTCAGCGGAATCAAACCCGATTCAACGAGACTATGCCGGATGAGGTCAGTTGTTGCCAACGGATATACTAACGCCGATGTTGAGTTTTATCTTCCAAAGTCTACATCCGAATGTCTCGCTTCATGTGTCAGCCTTTTGTGGTAGTTCTGGCCGTAGCCATTGGCCCATTAATTAGGCGTTGGCTTCAGCTGCTGCGGTTGCGTCAGCGCTGGAGGAGAAGGAGGGAAGAGGAGGAGAAGGGAGAGTTCATACCAGTTCATCCTCCTTCTCTTCCCCCTCCTCCTCCAGCCTCTGCCTCTGTATGTATTCCCTCCGCCTGCCCCGACTGCCCCTCATCCCCTTCTTTTGTCCCCTCCTCCTTCTGCTGCCCCTACTTTGTACTTTCCTGTCGTCTCTTAATCAACCGATCCCACCTATCCCTTCTTCATCTCCTCCACCGCTTCTGCCACCGCTGCTCGGGCATAACCGAGGGGCCGTCGCTCCTCATACTTTAGCGCCAGGTGCAAATTCTCGCTGCGGAATGCGTGCACCAACTCGAGCCGGAAGGGCATCTCCTCAGACGTGGAGGCCTCCGGTTTGATGCTGCATGCACGTGGAAGCACATAATCGTTTCTTGTCGTGAGACATGTAAGACGCCATCTCCACTGAGACGAGGAGACGAGACGAAGGGCACCCACCAAATGAGAGTCGTCCACGAACTCCACCCGCCCTCTCAACCCATCGGTCGCTCGGAACATGAACTGGTCGCTGACACACCAGGAAGATGAGCTGATCGCCTGTGCGACTCTGCCAATGCGACCCCAAGGTCCTGGTCTGCGGCAGGCTTTGGGACAGGCTCTCGGGTGCCTCAAAAGCGCGTGCCGGCTGCTACCGCTGGAAGGACGGCCTGCACTGGCGGCCGGCGGGGCTGCTGAAAGGGGCGACAGAGCCGCCCGCGCGCGGCACCAGTGAAAGGAGAGGGGGATGAGCGAAGAACGTTGCAGGTCCCCAAAGGGCGGAGCCCTGAGGGACTAAGAGGGGGACCTTGACGCCGCTGGCTCGCGTCACAACGGCTCGCCAAAGAAAAACAAACAGCGCTGGTCCCGCCCCGGAACCTCAGAAGGTCTTGGACCCCTCCCACGCAATAGTGGGCGAACAGATATATCTGCCAGGGGAAAATTGAACGCTGCCGCTACCGACCAATACCCAGCAAACGATAATTCCGCCGCCACGGCCGCCGTCGTCGTCGTCTCCGCCATCGCCATCGTCGTCGTTGTTGTCGTCGTTGTCCTACTACTGCTACGACTACTATTACGACTACTATTACGACTACTACTACGACTACTACTA